TACATATTTCCATCCCTAGGCTATCACCCACCAAATCCTCCTGCCCTTCTAGCTCCATCCCAGTTTACTCACCCTTCAGAGGCCAAATCAAATCCTTCTTCTAAAACTCTTTTAATGACCCTCCCATGGTGATCTCTTTCTCTTAAAGATTCAACTTGTACAGCACTTACACATACCACTCATTTGGTACAAGTACTATGGTCCCTCAGTATCCAAGGGTGATTGGTTGCAGGACATCCTGCAGATATCAAAATGCTCGGATGCTAAAGTCCCTGATATAAAATGATGTAGTATTTGCATATAACCTACGCACATCCTGCTGTATACTTTAAATTCTCTCTGGATTACTTAAAATACCTAATACAATGTAAATACTATGTAAATGGTTGCTATACTGTATTATTTGGGGAATAATGACAAGGAAAAGTTTATACATGTTCAGTAAAGATGCAATTTTTTTCCCAAATATTTTTGCTCCACAGTTGGTTGAATCCACAGATACAGAACCCACAGATATGGAGGGCCGACTGTATATTGTTCCTTGGACTATTTTTTGAAATTAGTGAGTGTATGTCCAACTCCCTAACTTGAACACAATTCTGAGAGCAGAGACTGTGTATTAATTATCTTAATATTACCCATGATAGTTAGTTACAAACACTATACAATACATAGATACAGTAGTCACCTAAGAGTTAATCATCAACATAAACAAAGGTTATTTTCATTGTTCACTGAAAGTAAAGAGGTACAGGGTCTCTGTTATTGCAAATACACAGTAGGACAGAGTTCACTATCAAATAAAGAAGATATAGCTGAGATCTTATTTAAAAAGCAAACATAGATCATTTGTTTCCAACGTTGCATGTCTTTGAGGTTGGAGCGGTTGCATCAAAACCTTAGCAATACCAACATAAGTATTTATTGCTCACAAGATTGGGCTTGACTGGCAGTTCTGTCTCAAACTGCAATGGCTGGGGTGGTTCTGCTTCCTATTGAGGTTTGGGAATAAGCTGGGGTTACTGGGATAGCCAGGCCAAAAGGGCAGCAACTACCTAACAGAAGCCCTTTGCAAGGCAATGGCACAAATACAAGCAAGCATAAAGAACCACAAGACCTCTTTATGCCAAGCCTCTGAACCGGCCCACTGTGACTCTCAACCATGTGCCATTGCCCAAAGCAAGTCACATGGCCAACCACAAAATGAGTGGGAGGGAATGGCACTTTGCCCACGATGAGGCCATGCCAACAATGTATTAATATAATAGATGCAAGGATGGGTGACAAACTGAGAACAAAATTTTCATCTTCCATGAGGAATAAGATGTTTAAGAAAGTAAACCAAGTATGTTATGTTTCTTTTTTTCCTCATATTCAAGTTAATAGGTATAATTTTTGGTCCTACATTAGAATTTCAGGGTCATAGCATTTTTCATGAAAGGTACTTTTGGTGAGATAGGCAGTGAGAGATGGTTAATTTTATCTATACACCAACTTTGAGAAAGATATTTGTGTATCAATTCCTTAACTTGTCTTCTATTAAAGTCAAACTCCTATGTTCATTTTCTTTGCAGATTTAAAATTTATTAAAAATGTGCTATTTATAAAAAGATGTTGTTTTTAACCGACTGACAATAGGATACCCTTTCAATTATTTTTCTTGCATTAGCAATGAGTTTATGGTAAGCCATCCACACCCTGACAAATTGCTCTTGAAACCAACACCCAGATTTGTAATCCAGTTCATTGGAGTTAGGAATGTGGTCTAGAACAATGGAAGAGTTTATGCTTTTGTGCCAAGGTAAGTTATAGGTTT